CTGCATTGATTTCTTATTCTAGGAGCCAGTCACAATCCAGGATGTCACTGTGCTTTTCTCGGAGGCAGAATGGGAGACACTGAGCTCTGAGCAGAAGAACCTGTACAGAGACGTGATGCTGGAGATCTACAGGAATCTGCTCTCCGTGGGTGAGGATGTGCTGCTTTCTCTTTTTTAACTCAGCGCATGTTTATTGGGCACCTACTGTGTGCTAAAGAATGAGCCCTGGAGCTACTCACCAAACCAGGGTTTTGAACATTATCTGTATGAATTACATTATGCCAGTTGACTCAGTTTCCCCTTTACCATGGGGACAACTTTAACCCCTTTAGTTAGGTGTACCAATCCAGTGAGTTATTTGGATATGTCTAGGATGCCTCCATTAATTGTACCCCTTGTGTGCTTTATTACATACATGAATATATATATATATAGCATGCAGAAACATGTTTGTGCATGTGCCATCCTATGCATGTATGCGTCCATATCTACTTATATTTACACGCATACCCTCCTGTATTTGAAGCCCACCTGAGTAAGTGGCTTATGTTTTATCAATCTGTCTATATAATAAGAAAAGTCATTAAGACTTGTATATAAGTCTTAGGAACTGTTATTATCAGGTAATAGGGGCAGAATATATCACTGAGTGCCTGCAGCTTAGAAGGTTTTCTGAGAATGAGCAGGCCAGCTGTACTACAAGAAGTTTACGGAGCAGAAGCAGTATCTGATCCTCCTTGGAAAATTCTAATCTGGCCGACATGTTACAAAGGTTTTGAGTGTGGGTTGTCTGGATTGCAGTAACTAAACCCATTGTCATCAGGTTGATACCAACTCACAGCAGCATCACACAACATGGTAGATCTGACTCATAGGTTTCCCGGGCTGTAAATTTCTATAGAAGCTGACTGCCACACCATTCTACCGCGGAGATATTGTTGACTTTGATCCATCATCTATTTGGATTGCAGCCCAGGGCTTTAACCACTGCCACACTAGAACATTCTGGATTGCACTACGAAGGGTAATTGATGAAAATGGAACATGAGTGAGCAGTTCATGGGAAACAAATGGAGTTGGCTATATTGTGGATGACAAATGTGAGCACAGGATTGTTGTTAGTTGGCGTCTAGAATATTCTAACTCTTGGAACACACGTGTTCATCACGGTGGATTAGCACAGCTCCCTAGGGTTCTCAAGCCTTTGGCCCTCTAGGTGCAGATTGCCAGGAAATCACCGGACCGCTCTTCTGAACCATCACCCTTTCAGCTAGTAGTGGAATGCATAAATGTTTGTGTGTGCATTTCCTGGCACACACGTGCATGTGTATGAATAGCTTGCTGGTACTCCAGCTGTGAGGTACTGTAATAAGAGAAGGTAGCACTTTGCAGGCAGCTTCACTCATAGCTGCTCTCATAGAAAATTCTCTCTCTCCTGCAGAACCAAAGTCACAATTCTACTTCAATTCCTCCTGCCCCCTGAATTTCTCCTGTCAGCACGTGCAGCATGTGCTTCAGATCTTCACAGACTTGTGTGCAGCAGGGCAGACAGAGCATCAAGATTCTGATCAGAACTGCAGGAATGAAAAGACAAAAGTGCAGGAGAGAGAAGTCTG